CTTGCCCGATGATCGGCAAGCCATTAAGATAAATGGATCTTTAAGAAGAAGACGGACGTGGATGGTAATGTCACCGTCCATGAAGCTCGACTTGTGGCGAAAAGTTTTTCACAAGTTCAAGGAGTTGACTACAATGAGATTTTCTCATCCGTAGCGATGCTTAAAGTCCGTCGGATTCATGTTAGCATTAGCTGTATTTATGAAATCTGGCAGATGGATATCAAAACGAGTTTCCTTACCAGTTTTCGTGAGGAAAGGTTGTATGTAATACAATCAGAAAGTTTTTGTCGATCCTAAGGATGCTAAAAGGTATGCTAGCTCCAGCGATCCTTCTAAGGACTGGAGTGAGCATCTCGGAGTTGGAATGTATGCTTTGATGATGATCAAAGATTTGGGGTGTATACAAAGTTTATGAGAAACTTGTATTTCCAAAGAAGTGAGTGGGAGCACTATAGAATTTCTGATGAGTATATGTTGTTGACATATTAATGATCAGAGATGACGTAGAATTTCTGGAAAGCATATAGGGTTATTTGGAAAGTGTTTTCAATGGAAAACCTGGATTAAGCTACTTGAACATTGAGCATCAAGATCTATAAGGATAGATCAAAATGCTTAATAGTACTTTCAAATGAGCACATGCCTTGACGTGATCTTGAAGGTGTTCAAGATGGATCAGTCAAAGAAGGAGTTCTTGCCTGAGTTGTAAGGTATGAAGTTAAGACTTAAAGCTCGACCATGGCAGAATAGAGAGAAAGGAACGAAGGTCGTCCCCTATGCTTAAGACATAGGCTCTACAGTATGCTATGCTGTGTACCGCACCTGAAGTGTGCTTTACCATGAGTCAGTCAAGGGGTACAAGAGTGATCCAAGAATGGATCACAGGACAGCGGTCAAAGTTATCCTTAGTAACTAGTGGACTAAGGAATTTTCTCAATTATGGAGGTGGTAAAAGAGTTCGTCGTAAAGGGTTACGTCGATGCAAGCTTAACACCTATCCGAATAGCTCTGAGTAGAGATACCGGATACGTATAATGGAGCAACAATTTAGAATAGCTCCAAGTAGAACAGTTATTTGGAATAGCTCCAAATAGAACGTGGTAGCTACATCTAGGAGATGACATAGAGATTTGTAAAGCACACACGGATCTGAAAGGTTCAGACCCGTTGACTATAACCTCTCTCACAAGCATAACATGATCAAACCCAGAACTCATCGAGTGTTAATCACATGGTAAATGTGAACTAGATTATTGACTCTAGTAAACTCTTTGGGTGTTAGTCACATGGGGATGTGACCTTGAGTGTTAATCACATATCGATGTGAACTAGATTATTGACTCTAGTGCAAGTGGGAGACTGTTGGAAATATGCCCTAGAGGCAATAATAAATTGATTATTATTATATTTCCTTGTTCATGATAATCGTTTATTATCCATGCTAGAATTGTATTGATAGGAAACTCAGATACATGTGTGGATACATAGACAACACCATGTCCCTAGTAAGCCTCTAGTTGACTAGCTCGTTAATCAATAGATGGTTACGGTTTCCTGACCATGGACATTGTATGTCGTTGATAACGGGATCACATCATTAGGAGAATGATGTGATGGACAAGACCCAATCCTAAGCCTAGCACAAGATCATGTAGTTCGTATGCTAAAGCTTTTCTAATGTCAAGTATCATTTCCTTAGACCATGAGATTGTGCAACTCCCGGATACCGTAGGAGTGCTTTGGGTGTGCCAAACGTCACAACGTAACTGGGTGGCTATAAAGGTACACTACGGGTATCTCTGAAAGTGTCTGTTGGGTTGGCACGAATCGAGATTGGGATTTTGTCACTCCGTGTAAACGGAGAGGTATCTCTGGGCCCACTCGGTAGGACATCATCATAATGTGCACAATGTGACCAAGGGGTTGATCACGGGATGATGTGTTACGGAACGAGTAAAGAGACTTGCCGGTAACGAGATTGAACAAGGTATCGGTATACCGACGATCGAATCTCGGGCAAGTACCATACCGCTAGACAAAGGGAATTGTATACGGGATTGATTGAGTCCTTGACATCGTGGTTCATCCGATGAGATCATCGTGGAACATGTGGGAGCCAACATGGATATCCAGATCCCGCTGTTGGTTATTGACCGGAGAACATCTCGGTCATGACTACATGTCTCCCGAACCCGTAGGGTCTACACACTTAAGGTTCGATGACGCTAGGGTTATAAAGGAAGTTTGCATGTGGTTACCGAATGTTGTTCGGAGTCCCGGATGAGATCCCGGACGTCACGAGGAGTTCCGGAATGGTCCGTAGGTAAAGATTTATATGTAGGAAGTCCTGTTTCGGCCATCGGGACAAGTTTCGGGGTCATCGGTATTGTACCGGGACCACCGGAAGGGTCCCGGGGGCCCACCGGGTGGGGCCACCTGCCCCGGGGGGCCACATGGGCTGTAGGGGGTGCGCCTTGGCCTACATGGGCCAAGGGCACCAGCCCCTAGAGGCCCATGCGCCAAGATATAGGAAAAAGGGGAGAGTCCTTAAAGGGGAAGGCACCTCCGGGGTGCCTTGGGGAGGATGTACTCCTTCCCCCTCCTTAGCCGCACCCCTTCCTTGGAGGAGGGGGCAAGGCTGCGCCTCCCCCCTCTCCCCTGCCCCTATATATAGTGGAGGGGAGGGAGGGCATCCATACCTGAGCCCTTGGCGCCTCCCTCCCTCCCGTGACACCTCCTCCTCTCCCGTAGGTGCTTGGCGAAGCCCTGCAGGATTGCCACGCTCCTCCATCACCACCACGCCGTTGTGCTGCTGCTGGATGGAGTCTTCCTCAACCTCTCCCTCTCTCCTTGCTGGATCAAGGCGTGGGAGACATCGTCGAGCTGTACGTGTGTTGAACGCGGAGGTGCCGTCCGTTCGGCACTAGGATCATCGGTGATCTGAATCACGACGAGTACGACTCCATCAACCCCGTTCACTTGAACGCTTCCGCTTAGCGATCTACAAGGGTATGTAGATGCACTCTCCTTTCTACTCGTTGCTGGTCTCTCCATAGATAGATCTTGGTGTTACGTAGGAAATTTTTTGAATTTCTGCTACGTTCCCCAACAGATCCAGCAGCACGACGGCGTGGTGGTGGATGCAGCAGGGATCCGGCAGGGCTTCACCAAGCGACTACGGGAGGGAGAGGTGTAGCAAGGGGGGAAGGGAGGCGCCGGGTGTCAGGGTGCGGCTGCCCTCCCACCCCCCTCTTTATATAGAGACCCCAGGGGGGGCGCCGGCCCTAGGAGATGGGATCTCCTAGGGGGGGCGGCGGCCAAGGGGGGAAACTTGCCCCCCAAGGCAAGTGGAGGCGCCCCCTCCCCTAGGGTTCCCAACCCTAGGCGCAGAGGGGGGCCCAGGGGGGGGCGCGCACCAGCCCACTAGGGGCTGGTTCCCCTCCCACTTCAGCCCATGGGGCTCTCCGGGATGGGTGGCCCCACCCGGTGGACCCTCGGGACCCTTCTGGTGGTCCCGGTACAATACCGGTGACCCCCGAAACTTTCCCGATGGCCGAAACTCGACTTCCCATATATAATTCTTTACCTCCGGAGCATTCCGGAACTCCTCGTGACGTCCGGGATCTCATCCTGGACTCCGAACAACTTTCGGTTTGCTGCATACTAATATCTTTACAACCCTAGCGTCACCAAACCTTAAGTGTGTAGACCCTACGGGTTCGGAAGACACGCAGATATGACCGAGACTGCTCTCCGGTCAATAACCAACAGCGGGATCTGGATACCCATGTTGGCTCCCACATGCTCCTCGATGATCTCATCGGATGAACCACGATGTCGAGGATTCAAGCAACCCCGTATACAATTCCCTTTGTCAATCGGTACGTTACTTGCCCGAGATTCGATCGTCGGTATCCCAATACCTCGTTCAATCTCGTTACCGGCAAGTCACTTTTCTCGTACCATAATGCATGATCCCGTGACCAGACACTTGGTCACTTTGAGCTCATTATGATGATGCATTACCGAGTGGGCCCAGAGATACCTCTCCGTCATACGGAGTGACAAATCCCAGTCTCGATCCGTGTCAACCCAACAGACACTTTCGGAGATACTCATAGCATACCTTTATAGTCACCCAGTTACGTTGTGACGTTTGGTACACCCAAAGCACTCCTACGGTATCCGGGAGTTACACGATCTCATGGTCTAAGGAAAGGATACTTGACATTGGAAAAGCTCTAGCAAACGAACTACAAGATCTTGTGCTATGCTAAGGATTGGGTCTTGTTCATCACATCATTCTCCTAATGATGTGATCCCGTTATCAATGACATCCAATGTCTATAGTCAAGAAACCATGACTATCTGTTGATCAACGAGCTAGTCGACTAGAGGCTCACTAGGGATATGTTGTGGTCTATGTATTCACACGTGTATTACGATTTCCGGATAATACAATTATAGCATGAATAAAAGACAATTATCATGAACAAGAAAATATAATAATAATCATTTTATTATTGCCTTTAGGGCATATTTCCAACACATACACCCTACCAAACACATCCTTATTGGATCTTGATCTCTTTGTTTCAGTCCGAAGCTGATCATCACGCTGCCGGTTTCGATTTAGTCTTTAAGAGTTCAGAACCTGCCTTTTTTTTGAGGGGTCAGAACCCGCCCGTTCTTTTCATTTTTCTTTTTGAGGGGTCAGAACCCGCCAGTTTTTTCTTTAGAAAAAGAACCCGCAAGTTTTTTTTTTAGGGGAAGAACCCGCAAGTTAAAGCCTCCATGTCCACAGCACTTTGTGACTTGTTAGCCCAAGCACACTATATTGGGCCAGATTTTCCCTATAGAATAGATGCGGCCCATCCAAACAGTGAAAAGCTGAGGTGGAGACAGCGCACGACCGAGTTGTCAAAGCGAGTTTTCCCTGCAAAACTCTCGCCGCTGCGAGTTCCCAAAAAGCGAAGCGACCACCACACCTCTCGCCGGAGATGCCGCCGGGGACCCCTCTGCCGTCGACGGGGGCGTGGACCTGGGAGAACGCCGTCGCCGGAGCGACCGCCGGCTTCGCCACCGTCGCCACCTTCCACCCGCTCGACGTCGTCCGCACCCGCTTCCAAGGTAACCCCCCTCCCCCCCTAAGCCCTAGGAGACGCAGAGCCCGACCGGAAACCTTAACCCTGCTGCTCCCGTGCTGGTGTGTAGTGAGCGGCGGGAGAGGGTTGTCCGACTTGCCGCCGTACAGGAACACGGGACACGCTGTATACACCATCGCACGATCTGAGGTGTGAATCCCTGTCACATTTTTTGTTTTGTTTTCAATTTTTCATCGTTTGGTGGACCAAACCTCGGCCATAGCTTAAAACCTTAATTATATTGTATATATGTTTTTAATCCTGTTGATTTTCGGAAAATTTTGAATGCAATCATTACAATATGCAGGTGGATTTTCTTGTAGCTGTTATTTCCAAGTTAATTTTTTGCTTTAATTTCATTGAAAAATCCTTGAAACTTAGGAAGCCGACAATGTAGATGATAGTCACCTGTTCCTGGAAGCTTGGTTAACAATTATAGCAAACTAAATGACTAAAACCTTTTGTTGTAAGATCTTCAGTAATTTGGCTCTTCTGGTATTTGAAGTATGAGGTATGCTGATCTAACTGCTTAATGTAGGGCCTGAGGGGACTTTATGCCGGCTTTTATCCTGCAGTTCTGGGGTCAACCGTTTCTTGGGGGCTATATTTCTTTTTGTAAGTTCCATTAGTTCATTCTGCTGAACTGTTGAATAGTTGTAGTGTGGAGCATTCAATGCTTTCTTTATTACTGAACTATACCAAAGCAATCTGCTAATTTCAGAATTTAATTTCACTTGTTTCCTTTTCTTATATAGGGATCCTATGCTACAGTTTACCGATTGGTTGCTACTTACAGTAGTGCTGGCATTTTGACTAATGTTACGAACGTCTGTTTTGACAGTTATAACAGAGCTAAACAAAGATACTTGCAGGAGAAGGATGTTCAGCTCCGTCCATTCGACCATCTTGCCTCAGCTGCAGAAGCAGGTGCTTTGGTTCGTACAGTAACTCCAGATCTAGTGTCTTTTTGTGATTTTGTCACATTGGAGTTTAATGAAATTGGGTTAAAATGTAACTAGGTCTTTGATAGCAAGCCTAACCTGACATTTTTTCTGACTGCCAACATGTGTTAGTGTTATTTGTTCACCTCAATTGTCTTCATCAAAATATCATTTATTCATGACAATTTTTTTTGTGTGTTTATACAGGTTTGCCTGTTTACAAATCCCATATGGCTGGTGAAAACACGGATGCAACTACAAACACCTGGGCATACTTCATCTTATTCTGGATTTTCTGGTAATATATGCCTATTGTACTTGTATTTTTATTTTCTAAGTATCATACAGCAAACATATCGTACTAGAGTTGTGACTTGTTTTCTGTTGCAAATAAGTGACTTGTGCCATTCTTAGTTCTATCTGAAGCTGCTAAAATTTGTCTAATTTAGTTGAGCTCGTGTAAAAGAAATTGTTTCAAATCATTATAATGGTTTTTTGTGCCATGAATTGTTTGTGTGCATCCTTCATGCCCATATTTCTTTCGGTCTATAGCTAGTACAAAATTTTGTGACCTTGCTTATTTGGTCTCTATGAAGCCAGATGCTTTGAGAACTATTCGGAAAGAGGAGGGATGGCGAGCACTTTATAGAGGGATCGGGCCTGGACTTTTGCTGGTATGCATCTTTTTTTGCTGAAATGCTGTTTAGTATTGTGCTGCTTTTCATTACAATCCTACAAATTTAGTCATAAAACTATTAGCCCCATGCTGTTTTAAGTAGCTCTAGATACAGGAGTGCAATAACATGTAGTTGTCCTTGACTCAGAGTTATATATGTTATGTGACTTCAGTTCATTCTTTCTTGAATTTGTTGACTCAAATGATCAAATCTATGTCTTATCACTACCATTCATGGTATGGATTGATTTTTTAAGTATCACCTGAGTTTTAAGATGTGGCCTATCAGATTTAGCTACATGCTTCAGGTAATATCCTCTTATGAGGCTCCAACTAGAGAAGGTGGGACGTCTTATTATTTGGATCATAGCTAGTCATGTTTTCCTAGTGCTATCTTGATGTTGGAAAATTACCTTGTTATGGAGATTATTCTTACAGTTCTCAGCAAGAAAGGAACCAGGAAGGTCAGATAAACTGTTTTATGTTCTAGTTTATTTAATGTACCTGTCAATGTCAGAATTTCCCAACGGTGCTAGTAGGAATTCGGTCGCTGTAAATTGTGATTGTGCTTAAGCAGAGGTTATGTCTATACTAGTTTCAATTAGTAAAGATGCATATGTTGTGGACTGTTGGGATAGTAACATTCTTAAATATTTCTTCTGTTTTACTGTGATATCGTTCATGAATACATGCACTAATGTTTATTGCTGTGCCGTCCTTGAAAGGTCACCCATGGCGCGATACAATTCACTGCCTATGAGGAACTTCGCAAGGCTATGATATCTGCGAAAAGTAAACAAACAAGGGGAGATGACAAAGGCAGCGAGGATTTATTGGTAGGCACCAAGTGATTGCATGTGTGCTCAGACATTAAACATCTAGCCTTTTTTTGACACTCGACATTAAACATCTAGCTTAATTTACATTATAGACATTATGTTTTCCCTGGATAAGTCTGTTCAGATGTTTGAAAATTTTCTTAAATTTGGTTGCTTAAACTTATATGACCATCCTTTGTGACATGATACAGCATGTGAACTGTGAAACATAGGAGGATATCCTCACTTGTGAAGACCGTCAAGTAGTCAAATATAGGTGTTATGTAATATTGTTTCTTAGAAACCCTGTTTTGAACATCAGTTACATACAAACTGTATGATGCATAAGCTGATTCAGGGCAATCAATATTCTTAGAACATTTAGGTAAAGTTTTGTCTGCTTTCAAACACATTCTCTATCTGCTAGATGGGCAATTAATATGTCTGATATGCATTTGCCTTCATTATCAACAGAACTCCGTTGATTATGCGGCACTTGGCGCTGGTTCAAAATTATCTGCTATTCTGCTTACTTATCCTTATCAGGCAAGATTTAACTTCTGTTTATTCCCATCAACTTCATAAATGGTTGCTGCCGTCTTACTATACATACCAACTATGTTTTTTTTGGATTTGCAGGTTATCCGAGCCCGCTTACAGGTTGGTTTCAGATTTAAAGCTCTGCATCTCATTTCTTTGGAGTTTAGCAGCAATAATAATAGTTCTTGTCTGCAACTTTTCAGCAACGACCTGGTAGTGATGGTATCCCAAAGTACTCAGATAGTTGGCATGTAGTGAAGGAAGCTGCAAGGTGAGGGTCATTATAAGCTTCGATTAGATAAAGTTTTGGACCTCAGGTGGCATTACCGTTTCACGGAATCTGATGTTAAGTCATGGTTTATCTATCTTATTGTCTTATTTAATATGCACCTTACCTGTCAGTCTTTTCTCAAGCTTGGTCTACACTTTTGCCCACTGATCATCTATATTCTTCAGTAATCTGTAGTTATAATAAGGATGTTGCATGTCATGTTTTTTGTTGCGACTTTGCTGGTCCTGAATGTTGGTTGTGCTACAATTTTGAGCAACGGTAACGCTTGCACATTTTGTTTGAATTCTCAATTTCTGCTGCAGGTACGAAGGTGTCCGTGGGTTTTACAGGGGCATCACTTCCAACCTATTGAAGAACCTTCCAGCAGCTTCCGTGACGTTTGTGGTGTATGAAAACGTTATCAAACTATTCAGAGCAGCCAAGGAGAAGACGTAATTCCAACTTGCAACTGGAGCCAGGAGAAACATAGGAGGAACTAGGAAAGACACTAATGTTCCGCGCAAATACAGAATCTGTTCATTCACCACACTATCCGAGCTCAACGTGATGTTCCATCACATTTCCCAATTCAGCTCTTATTGACTTAACAGAAACGGAATTTAGTTTGGCGAACTTGTTTTTTGTAGAGAAAATTCATTTTCTAAGAAACAGCTCATTGGTTCATGTTGTCCAGTTGAATGCTTGTTGAAGATAGAGCTCTGGTTCTATGTGTGGTTCAACGTGTGATTGCGTCAGTTAATTTTTACGGAAACGCTTGGGTTTCACCCCGGGCTGATTCCTGGGAGAAATCTGCCGCCTCGCGCCGTGGGGCCCAGCAACATTGCTTTCCCCTTCCCTAGCATTGTCCTTCCTCTACACTCATCTCATTCGTCCCATTTCTCCTTCCTCCACTGACCACCACTGCTGTCATCGAGCTACAGCCTCGGTCGCGCGATGCAAAGAGGGGAGAACCATCGATCTCGCCCGAGGACTCTTTGCCTCCCACATCGGGGCAGCCTGTGGTTCGGCGGCGACAACCGGTGGTGGATTACAACGCCCTTCATGTTACTGAACACATAGGCCTTGTTTCAAAGGAAAAAATGGTTCGGCGGGAGCGCAACAAGGCTCGTGTTGCGCGCTTTGCAACACGAACCTTGTTGCAAAGGAGGGCGCTCTCGTGGAGAGATTGGACTGACCGGACACGTAGTGCTCCCCAAAATTCTGAGAACATGTTAAGGACGTCAACAGTGTGTAGAGGCTGGGCTGCCTCTATCCTGGGCCCCACGTTCTGCCTCTAATCAGCTTTAAAAACCACGTAGTGTGTAGCAGGCTGTTGACTCTAAGGAATGGTCCCACAATAGAATAAACAATGAAGAATGTATTGATCCGTTTGCATGGCCTAGCCACAGCCATACACTGACTAGTAGGACCATGTCGTTGTTTAATCCTTGGAGGCAGCCTCCAAGGCTAGCATCGATGCCAAGCTTAAAAAACTTGGAGGCAATGTCTGCAGTGTGTAGAGGCGGGCTCCAAGCCTTTAGAGGCGGCTATAGAGGCTGAAAACCACTACCTTGTGGATGCTCAACCAATGATGAACGGCTGGATAATTCCTCTGCCGGACTACAATTCCGATTCGGTATTGGGGCTTCAGTTCCGAATCGAGCCCGGCTCTCTCTCGTCTCAATCGCACCTTCCTGCTATAAAAGGAGCCCCAGACCCGCAGACACATACCAAGCAAACTCGTGAAGGAACACGTCCACCGCGGCCCTAGACCCTTCTCTTCGGGTGAATAGCTCCCATGCGACGTCGTTGGTGTGAACTGTCTCTCATGCGACGTCGTTGGCTGTAATAGCTTGCATGCGACATCTTTGTTGGAAAAAATAGCTCCCATGCGACACACCATTTACGCGGCTAGTTGGCTGTCCGTTAGGCTGAGATTTGGTTAGGACACTGGGGGTTATGTGCTCTGACTGGTGGGGTCCACCTATGGCCACGTAGTCAAGAGTCAACCGTCCACGACTCGACCGGTGACTGTGTGACCGTGCTCGACTCGCCCGTGCTGGACTGGGCGAGCGGCGCCGCCGTAAGCATCTTCTCCGGCAGTGGTTTCTTCTCCGCGGTGGTGGAGCGCATTTCTCGGCAGCGGCAGAGCTATTGCGAGGTGAGCCCAAAACCCTAGTCCCACTCCCCAGAATTTTGGGGGATCTGTGGTCTCATGCTGCCCTCTGTTTCTTGGCGATTAGAATCGGGCTCCATTGGATCCGGGGGTTGTTTCTTCTCCGCGGCCCGGTGGTGGAGCGCCTATCCCTGCAGCGGCTATTGCGAGTGAGTATTTTCCAAACACTACTCCCATTCCACTGAATTTTGAATAAATCTGTGGCCTCATGCTGCCCCTGTTGCTTGATTGGATAGGAGATGGAGCGAGGGCTAGATGAGATGGAGCGAGGAGACGGGCTGCCCCGAGGAGACAGTGCTTCAAATCGGTAATGCCACCCTCTTTTCTTGGCGATTTAGAATCAAACCCGATTTGGTAGTGACTGCCGCCGCTGCCTGCCATTGACAAAACAGGGGAGGTTCAGGTTCTGCCACCACATTCGCAATTATAGTGGAATTTTTTCCCTGTAAAGCCAAGCTCAGTGATGGCAGTGTCCAAGACATTGATAGAGATACCACCGTGAGGTTGGATGTCAATTTTGCAGATGTTGATCCCCAGGAATTGGAGATCATGAAGGAGAAGGCCGTGGGCAATTTGGTGGAGAGAATTGGGGAGAGTATTGTTTGGGGTCCAGAACAAGAGGTATCTCTGCAATGTTTCGATAACTATAATGGTGAATATATGAGAATTGAAGATGGAGAATCCATGGTTGCTGAAATTGATCAGCAAGGAGGATGGGCAAGCAAACAAGTAACATTTTATGCAGAGCTAATTGATCTGCAAACTCATTCCAGAGTTGGTTATGTGCCATCAAAGATGGCTGCACAGATGGAAGATGATGAGTGGGTTTCACAAAAGAAGATGTTGGCATTGTTGACTGAACCGACTATAGTAGCTGAAGATACTGGGATTGATGCAGATGGAGAGGAGGGAACCCATGGTGCTAGGAAGATTGTTGTTGACTGGAATGTAGTAGAGTTGAATGAAAAAACAGATTTGGTCATTACACCAATATCTGACATTGATATGGCCGAAATGTTTGGCATTCAAGTTGATGACAAAGATAAGGAGAAGGATGACAGTTCTTTGCCAGCTGAAGGTAACACAGACCCTAGAAATGCAAATGAGGATGAAGAACACCTGATGAGAGAGGCTGCAGATGATGTGGATGATGCAGATGATAATGAGATGGTTTGTTTGTATGACAAAGAGAACCCAGTTATTGAGGTGGGAAAGTTGTGGCCAAGCATGAAGGAGTTTAGGATGTCTTTCAGGACCTATGCAGTGAAAAAAGAGTTTGATGCCAAGACTATGTGGACTGATCGAAAGAAATTTTATGCTCGGTGCAAAGGTTATGATGGTGGTGGCAATCCTTGCAAATGGTACTTGTCTGCCAGACTACAACCTGATGGGAGTACAGTAAGGGTAAATCAAATACCACACCAGCATACATGTATGACCACTTCACAGAGAGTTTCAAAGATGACATCACAGCTTTGGGTTACAGAGAAGATTACTCCTATTTTAGCCAAGACTCCAAACACTACTGCAAAGAGGCTTAAAGTTGACTTGGAGAAGTTGTACCCCATCCAGCTGCAATATACCACAGTGTGGAAAGCAAAACAAAGGGCCATGAAATCATTGTATGGTGACTGGGCAAATACATTTAGGATGTTGTATAGTTTTAAAGCAGAGGTGGAGAAGAGGTCACCCGGGAGTGTGGTGGAGATAGATACAGAGGTAACAGAGGATGGCAAGGTTTTATTCAGCAAGTTTTTTATGTGTTTGAAGCCTTGCATAGATGGATTCAAAGCAGGTTGTCGTCCATATTTGAGCATAGACTCATCTTTTTTGACTGGAAAGTGGAATGGTCAGTTGGCTGCATGCAATGCTCTAGATGGACACAACTGGATGTTCCCAATTGCAATAGGAATGTTTCAATCAGAGACAGAGGCATCATGGATATGGTTCATGATGCAACTGAAAAGATGCATAGGGCCAGTTTCTCCTTTGGCCATCCACACAGATGCATGTAAAGGGTTGGAAAATGCAGTAAAAAATGTTTTCCCCCATGCTGAGCAGAGGGAGTGCTTTGGACATATGTGGATGAATCTGATAAAAAAATTTAGAGGAGATGAATTTGGGCGCATGTGGCCAGCAGCAAGATCCTACACCAGACAGACACATTCCTATCACCTTGGTAAGATATTGGCATCATGTAGTGATAATGAATTTGCTTCATGGTTGAACACCCACCATTCTCTGTTGTGGTATAGATCAGGTTTTAATACTGCCATAAAATGTGATCATATCAATAACAACTTGGCAGAAAGTTTTAACAACAAAGTGAAGCATTTGAAAGACTTGCCTGTGCATGACATGGTGGACCAAATAAGGATCATGATCATGCGTTTGTGGGAGTTGAGAGGAAAAATTGCTAATATTTTGGAAGGGGACAAGCTTCCAGCAGTGGTACAACAGGTGGTCAACAGGAGTAGAAATCTTTCACATCTATCTGTTGAGAAATCTTCCTTGTGGGGTGCTGAAGTTAGAGATACAAAGAGTGGCAAGAGGCATGTGGTAAATACTGAGTTGCATGAGTGCACTTGCCAAGAGTGGCAACACACTGGAAAACCATGTGAGCATTCCATACTTTTTTTGGCATCTAAACCCAGATTAAATATGCATCCATATTTGCATGAGTATTATTCAGTACAAAAATTCAAAGTTGCATATGCAAGTCCAATTCCTGCACTGACTGACCAATCTCAGTGGCCTGAGGTGGAAATAGAATTTACCTTGTGTCCCCCTGTCACTAGAAGAAAGGCTGGGAGGCCTAAACAGAGCAGATTCAAAGCTTGGTTTGAGAAAGGTGGTTATAGTAAGAAGGGGAAAAAGGAAAAGGAAAAGAATGATAAGCCCAAAAGGGCTCAAAAAGGTAACAAAAATAGATGCAAGTCGTGTGAGGTACTTGGGCACAGAATTGGTTCATCCAAGTGCATCTACACTCCTCAGAGGCCAAAGTATGTTTATGTTACTGTTTTTGCAAGTTTTTGATTTTGCTACTTGTTCTAGTATCTAACCAAGTCAAATGCTTTATTTTTTAGGAGGAAGCGTGCAGAAAAAGCCCCACCTCTTGTTGTTGAACAATGCTGGCCAGTGAAAAAAGCAAGACTCAGTGGCTATAGAAGGAAGAGCACTAAGCAGATAATGTTTGGTGACAAAGATATGGAGCTAACTGAAACTGTTACTGCTGAACATGAGCTAAGTGTTTGTGTTTTGGACGATGTGATGCATACTG